GGGTGCATTTCTATATGGTGGGGCTTTCATGTTTGGTTGTTTATTTTCATGTGCTCTCTAACTGATGCAATGCATGATATCAGATGGACGACTTGCAGGGGTCTAAACTTTTGTCTCTCTTCAACTAAGTGAGAAGATCCTGAGCAGTGCTTTCGGACAATTTTGTTGCTTATGTCCAGGTTTTGTCAGGTAAGAAGTTATGTTGAGAGTAACTTTAGGATACTCCTCTGCTGCTAGAATTTAGGTTGCTTTGACTTACTTCCTTCCGATGAAATGAATCTTGATATGTATCATGACACTCTGATGTGTACTTTTGTACATATTTGTTGTATGTGGATCGATCGATCATTCCTAGTCCAACTTGTCACTAAAGAAACTATCCTTCAAGATTTGTTACCTTTTTTGATAGTTCAAAGCGCCATCACGCGGATAATTGAAATGTCTCATCTGCTTTTGAATTCAAATTCTGGGAATGCCTCTTCAAAGATTTGGATAATTACACAATGGCATCGTTATCGAGTTTGAAGTTTTATATGGTTCAGTGTTTGCTTATAGGGGGAGTATTTATTGATTATGCTTACACAAAGGCATTGGCATTGTGTCCAATGGCACATGATATGCTAATGTCTGTCAGGAGATACTAATTTGGATTGTCAATGATCTCTCAATATCTATAGAGCTAAGTTGCTCGGACTCGAGTGCGGGTATAAAATTCGGGTACGGATCCAAGAGTCGGATTCAACAAAATCTTACTTTTAAGATTCGGGGGTGCGAATCCAAGTATGGATACGGACGTTGGGATTCGGCTAAGAAAATTCAGAATTATAAAATTAGAGCTGTGAAGATATTCTAAATTTTGAGAGATAATTTTGTTATAACTTACATGTATATTTTGTTATAACTAATATGTTGAAGGTATTCCATTTTCCGTGTCTTAAATGTGTTTTATCTTTTATTTTGAGAAATCAAAAATCATTTCCTCCACTAATTTGTCTATGGACTCCGGTCAAAATATCCCAAGTTGGTTTACTGAATCCCAAATGTATCCCGCATCCGTTCCTGTCGTGTCGAGACGCGTTCGACATAAAAAATGAAGAGTTCGCACAACTTAGCTATAGAGAAAAATTAACCTAAATAGTTGGTCACCTAGCCGCTTAAACTAAAAACAGTATGTGGATGTATATTATATGTAAAGTTCATGTATACTATGTATATAATCACGTATAATCTATGCAATTATTTCTGTAAAGATTCCATCTATAAGTTCCCATTATAGTAATCTTGCTACATTATAGCATGATTAGGCTAGGTGAGGCTTTATTAATCATAAAGTTTAGTGACTTTCACGCAAAGTGGTACTTTAAGCTTTGTTCTAACATTGAAAGTTGAAAGTATAATGCTCATTTTAATTCTTTAGGGAAAATGTAGCAATCAATCAGGGGAGAAATTCAAAAATAGCCAGATTTACAACTGGTCGTTCAAAAATAGCCCAGTTTCAAAAGTAATCGAAATTTAGCCACTTTTCATGTAAAGATAAATCTGAGCGAAAACATTGTTCAAAATCCGGAAAATGCGCCAGTATATTATACTGGAGTTCCAGCATAAGTATGCTTGAACTCCAGCATATTATACTAGAGTTCTAGGATAAGTATGCTGGAATTCTAGCATAATATGATGGAGTTCCAACATAAGTACACTAGAACTCCAGCATAATATACTAGAGTTCCAGCAAGTATAATTGTCCAGTATAATATACTGGAGTTTGGAGCACCGGTGTTCCAGTCTCCAGTATATTATACTGGAGTCAACAAAGTATACCGGTCCGGCATAATATGCTGGAGTTCATACACATGTGCACCGAACTCCAGTATATTATGCTGGACCGGTCTCTGTTGCAGCAAAATAGTGGCTATTTTTCATTGAATTTGTAAACGCTGGCTATTTTTGAATGACCAGTCCGAAAACTGGCTATACCGTGCTATTTTTACATCAATCAGCTGTGCCTCATTCCTAATTTAATTGGTAGGCCCATTATATGTACTTAATAACGAAAATATGTAAAAATAGCACGAGCTAGCCAGTTTTCGGACTGGTCATTCAAAAATAGCTAACGCTTGCAACGTCATTGAAAAATAGCCACTATTTTGCTGTAACATGGAAAGTTCCAGCATAATATACTGGAGATCGGTGCACCTGTATATGAACTTCTAGCATATTATGCTGGAGCTCTAAAACGCAAAAAGTTCCAGTATAATATACTGGACCGTTATATTATACTGGAATTCCAGTATATATTATTGAAGTATTTTTCCGGATTTTGTATAGTGTTTTCGTTCAGATTTATCTTTACATGAAAAGTGGCTAAATTTCAATTATTTTTGAAAATGTGGCTATTTTTGAATGACCACTTGTAAATCTTGTTATTTTTAAATTTTTCTAATATATGAATCAGCTTGCGCGTGCCTCAATAATTCTACCTATTACTTGTTATTTCCCATCATCAAAGAGGTGCTGAATAGCTTTGCCTCACCAAGGTTTTAACACGCAAAAAGGAATTATATTATCTTTTCCTGTCTGCTTAGTACAAGATGAATTAACTACACTTTTAAAAAATTGGAGATTTCTAGTTTGGAAGGTTTTAAATCATTTCTCAAGAAGAAGGAAAAAAAAATTCCAAAATTAGCATGAAGTTTCAGGTTCAAGTCCGAATGAAAGACAAAAATATTACTAGTGTTTTATTTTTATCCATTTGTCTAAGCTTTTTGGTAGACATAGTTACTAGATACCTGTGCGGGTTGAAAATAGCAGGTATTTGGTAAAATTAATTGAAGTGTGCACAAGCTGGCTGGTTCGGATACCACTGTTATGAAAAGAAAGAATCATTTCCTAAATTTAAGATAAAAGATATCCAAACAAATTGCTACTAAATGATATGAAGAGACTAAAATAATTCTCCCATTTTCACCACCTAGGATCTAACATATTTGCAAATAATATCTGCATCATCTGTGTATACTCATATACAAACAATGAAATTCAGAGAGAAAAGATGAAAGCATAACATATATAATTACAATATAAGATTATTACATAGTTTCATTATGGTACATTTACATGATCCTTTTTACATATTATCAACCCTTAATAACATATTAATCAACGTTTAATTATCTGCCTCAAATCCTCAAAACTCCAATCCCTTCTCATCCCAGAGCTCCTCACCAATTTCGGCGAATCGGTCAAGAACTCCATTGGACAACTGTTATGAATCCTATGACAACCTTTTTTCGCCGTATTTTCTTTCCCCAGAAGCGATTGACCCCTCTTTTTCTCAAACCTAGGCTTTGGTACCAAGTTTCCGGACCAGTTTCTCTCAATCTTCCCCGAAAAAAGGCGAAAATTCGACTTTCCTGGACTATTTTGATGAACATTATTGAATCTTTCCCTTAATTCATCTTCTGAATCTGTTCTTTTAAGAACTTGGCATGTCAAGCAATTGAGAGTCATTGTTGTATAAAAGAAGAAAAGAAGAAGAATAAAAGGTTTATAAGGTAATGAATAATGCATAGGATATGTGTTATTTCATATGTACTAAATATTTTTTAGGAGATTGAGTTGAGGGTAAGGGTTGTTTTTTTTGGATTTTTGTTTTCTCCCATTTTATTGGAGATGTTAAGGTCTTGTGTTAATAATGACCATTCTTTTTTACTTTTACCCTAAAATAAAGCTCAATCAATCTTTAGGTAGTGGATATTATTACATTATCTAACACAAGGAAAATTTTAATCTTACTATTAATCTTTTTTTGTAACCGAGAAATCTTCTAGAGTCAGTAGTGTCGATTGCAAAATTCCATGAATAATGGGCTCGTCTTTCTATCCTTATCTACTTCGATATCATACTTTTGTTTGAAGCAGGGCGGAAAATCTCAATGTGTGCCTAATTCACATATCACTTGCTACGCTCTTACCAAGAGAGCAATATCCAAAGCGCTGTCTTCTTACACATTAATTGTATTGTGTGTTTATTACTCCCTCCGTCTCATAGTACCTGTCATGATTCTCTTGTGCACGCCCCTTAAGAAAAATTAGTTAGGATGTAATTTTGACTACTTTACCCTTATTTATGTCTTAATATTTAATCTTTTTTCATTGAATATTTTCTCAATTTATGTGTCGTCTCCATTGTTATTGATTGTATTTGTGTAAACATGATAAAGTGTTTAAGAAAACTAGGTTGACTCATTGGTATTTGAACAAAGTTATTCATAATTGAGGTGTTTGTAGTCTTTAAGGATAATTATTACCAAGGGTAAAAAAGGAAAAAAATAATCAATTTTTTCTTGAATTTCTAAAATGACAAATAATTTAAGATAATTATTTTTAGTAACCACGACTAATAATATGAGACGGAGGAGTATAAATCAATTACTATGACACTTAGGAAAATTAAGAATGCTGCCCTTTTTATTTCAGACCAAAAAAAAGAAGGTAAATTTGTGTTGTTTGTTATATTATAATAGGTTAGTTATCATTTTTTATAGGTTAATTAAAATCATTAAAGTTTCCAAAAAGGCAAAATCATAAAGTTCAATTTTCAATTATGATTGTTAAAGAGACCTTTAGAAAACTAAAGAACATAGAAATAGTCTAGTTGTATGATGGACCTAACTCAGGATATTTCATCTTAAAAAAAGTATTTTACAAAAGCCAATCCACCTACCCTACCCTACACTGACCCCCCCAAACCCCACCCCCTCAAACCCTAAACAAAGATAATACAAAAACTAATAAATATTCTACTTGAGTTGAAAAATATATCTGCATTAAATCTCCTTTGATATAATTGTCTTAATCTAATAAAATCTTATTTTATTGAGTCGAGTAGTTTTGTTCTACAATAGCCAAAAAAAATACAATTTTCTTTGTATATAGTCTTGATTCATATTTTTAAGAAATCTTCAATTATCTCAAACATATGTATTAAAGATTATTAATACTACGGGCAACGGAAGAATATTAATATTACGGGCAACAGAGTATTCTGAGACTAGTATATATTTAAACACGGTTGGCTCATTCACGAAATTAATAAAATGTAAGTTTATTTATTAAATATGTTATTCATATATTTGCTTAAAGAGACAAAATACATAAAGTTAGCATACAAAAAGAAAATGTGAACACAAAAGGGGACCCAACACTATGGCGTCTGAGCACATTTAATAAGAAATATAAAATCAACTTCACATGTAAAACACATGATCATTATTGTTATTATAATAATAATAATTATTATTATTATTCTATTAACAATTTATTTTTGGTCGTCAAAACTATTCCCTGAACAAACTATATCAGGGTCAACTAATTCGCTTTAGACTCCAACGTGGTTCTTATCCACACAAAAATGAATTTTCCCATTCGGTATTCAATACCGGTATTGAGACCCGATTAAATTTAGATTCATGCTAGAAAAGTCCCCCGTTGAGAGGTAAAGTGGTCTCTCATAAAGACGAATTTATACTTAGGGCTCGAATCCGAGACTTCTAGTTAAGAGCTCGAACCCGAAATCTGTGATTAAGAATAAATGAGTACTTATCATCTCACCCCGAACTTTCTTGGTCTTTCCCTTTCTATCACAGCATTAGAGAGAATTGTGTAGAAAATTTTATTGATGTTCAGTTTTTGTCACCATCCTTTCTCTGCAAAATTCAGCAGAAAAACTGATACCACTCCCATTGATTTCACTTAATATATGGACCATCCACATATGTAGACTTTGTAGGTTGCAATTTTGTTTTTTTGTTTTTTTACTTTTAGCCCGCACTAGAAACTATTTACCGTCACAGTCAGTAGCTGATAAAGTATATAAAATTTGTATATTTTTTTGTATGTAACATATATATATATATATAAAAAATATAATTGTTTGCTATTATTTTGAGAGCGGCTATACGGTGTCCTTTTCCTTTAAAATTTCGGAATATAAATCTTGGTTGTACGCTCGACGGGTTGGAGTGAAAACTTAAAGAATCAAAGGTTAAATTGCAGCGAATTCTTCTTATCTGCTTAAATTTTGATAATCAAAATTATGTGATACTTATAATTGAAATGTCATGAATATGTATAAATTAGTTAAGATACACACAAATTGGATCGAGTACCGTCCTTATCCAAGAAAGAAATATCTTGGTTGTGTGAGTTGAAAGTCCCTTGACAAAGGATTGAGGGTAGAAGAAAAATATATATTCTTTCAAAACAAGTTTAATCAATTCGCTAATAAAAGATTCTTATAGTGATCAACGAAGTATATTGAGAATCATGAAGTCGCGGGTTTAAACTCCAGGCAGAGGCAAAATAGACATGATTTCTTTCTTATTTGTCCAAGCTCTAGCGGAAAGAGTTAGTTACTCGAAATATGTGCTGGTGGGAGGTAGTAGATAAATTGGTTCGAATGCCACAATTATATAAAAAAATACATTTAGAGTATACTTAAATAGATTCATATTTTAACCTCAACGTATTTTTTTTCTTATTGTAACATAGGTCTTCGTCAAGTTTTCGTCCCTTTCGCCGGTAGACGGCGGCTTTAAACTTAACTACAAATACCTTTATGTAATAATTAAGCATAATTTTTATCATATCCATCAATTCGTTTCCATTTGGTTTACACTTTTTACACAAACGAAAACAATAAAATAAAAACGTGTACCTAATTAACTGCACTTGAAAGATTGTGTCACTTCAACTCAAATGATATTAGAATACTATATATATTCATTTAAATATTTCTTGGTCCAATGAATACAACAAAGAGTGGACCAAATTCAATGAATTCTCTAAATGAAAATGCAGCCTACCCCTTGTTGGTCCTTTCTTCTAGACTAAAACAAGCAATCTATTTATCCATCATAAATAGTTGGAAACAAAATTTTTAAAAAAAATGTGACAAAAAATTAAATAATAAAAAAGTGAGTCTATTTTATCTAAAATATTTATTTTTACTCGGTGTTTGTACCAAAATCAAATTATTTAGTCGTAATGTAGGTTAAGTAATAAAAGTTTAGATACAAATTACATATCATGCATTCAATGTGTAAACACTAAGTGCGAATAAATTTCTTTTCCGGAATTTTTCAATAACACAAGGTTCAAAACTTGATGTATAATGAGTCTATCGCTGGATTCGAACTTGTAACATGCCTAACCTAAGGATCTTTTAAGTAAGAAATTTTCTAGAGCCAGTGACGCAAGGTTCGAAAGTCGATATATAATGAGTTTATCTGGATTCGAACTTGTAACATGTCTAACATAAGAATATTTAACTAAGAAATCTTCGAGAGCTAGTGGCACAAGGTTCGAAACTCCACGTATAAGGGGTCTGCCGCTAGATTCGAACTTGCAACATGCCTAAACCTACACATCAATGTGTAACGCTCTTACCAAAAAACCAATGCCGTGGACTACCCCTGCCCTATTATTGCTTTCTTCATTTATATTCTGGATAAAGAATACAAAGGGATGGAGCAGACCATAACAGAAAAAGATGAAGCTGCATATTTATTTCTAATTACATGAACTAAAAACAAGAACTTGAGATCTAGTATTGGTTTCACATGTTTATGTACAGAAAATGTGGAAAACAAACTAGATATAAAAGTTGAAAAATACCCAAAAACTAAGAGGAAAGCTCAATCAACTTTCCACTTTAAGTAGCCTTAATCTCAAGATCTAACTATAGGAGAAATTCTCTTAAAATAGCTCAATGAAAGATAACATTATTCAGAGCTCACTATGATAATTTCCATTTACTGTATTTCTCTTCATCGCGATTCAGCAATTCTGGATGTCAATGATATCCGAAGTTGTTCTTGCGTGTAAAGCCGGCTTCCCATTTTCACAGTCGCTTGTTGGATCATCAACTCGTTGACAACTGAAACACTAGCATGGTGCACATCTAAGTCCAATTCCATGAGAGCGGTCATTAACCTCGCGGCTGGATGGTTCTTTTTATTAGATTGTATACGAATCATAGCATCCCATCCGATCACCTTAACGTCGATGTCCATATCTACAATCTTGAGTTCTTGATTTGACGGGGGAGGACCGGTATAGTTTGATCCCTTGTTGGCTAATTCATTCCTTAAAGATTCGATTTGGTTCCTCAAGTCCTCTTTATCTGAGTCAGAATTCTGAACCTTTGATTTCAACTCATTGATAAATGCAATTGCATCACCAAGAAGTGATGCTTTATCCATTTTTGACACATTTGGTACAACAGCTCTAAGTGCATAGAATCTTTGATTCAATTTCTCCCTCCTTTGTCTCTCTGCCTCCACATGATTCAATGGCTCCTCTCTCCCGTTAGCCGGTTTCCTCCCTCGTTTCCTCGGCTTCTTCTCGGGGTCTACAACTCTACTACTATCCGCCTCCTTCACCACCGAAGCCTCGAGATCTGATTGATCCGAATCGCCACCTCCACCGGACTTCCCCGTGTTTGAACTTGGCAAAATCACACCCGAAACAAATGAAAGGATTCCTTCATCGTTGCTTCCTCTTGATGCAGGTGACCTTTTCTTGTTCTTGTTCTTGTTCTCCTCCGCAGGCCCGGGCCCGAACTGTGATTGGCCCGAAAACAAGCTCCCATTTGCACTGCAAGCACTCCTCTTAGTACTATCACCAAAATTCAAGATTTCACCAGACTCAGGCTTGCAAGAACGCGAAGAATTCGCATTCCCATTTCCATACCGAGTATTACTTCCATCAAATCCATATTCGGAAAAATTCAACTCCCTAGTGAAAAATCCTTGTGTTTGCTGAGAATTTTGATTACCATTTTCAGAATTCTCATTTCCAAACACAAGTTGCTTACTGGTATTCCTTGAAGGAACTGTATTCGACGAATCCTTGACTTCCACAACTGAAGAAGCCGGATCAGTCAGCCAAAGGGCTGAAGGATCGGGCTCGGCCTGAATAGCACATGAGCCCGATCCTGAGCCCGTAGTCGCACCCATATCAATATTAAAATTAAACAAAACTTTAACCTTGTTCATTAAATCAGCAGTCTGGAATATCAACTCAGTTGACCCGAGCTCAACAACACCATTAGCTGAAGGAATACAAACAATAGTCTGAAGCCCGAAACCTTGGGCCTGTCGGGCCCGTTCACAGTGAGAAACAGCTAATCTCTCTGTTCCAGTAACCCAAATCGGGCTTGAACTATACATCGCCAGGCCCGGAAGCCCGCTTCCGTTAACAAACGATTGTGTCATGGAAATCAGAAAAAACCATTCAGTATCAGTTACTTCTTCATCTACAGCATCATTTTCACCACCGGTTTGTGTGCCGGAAATTAAAGAATTCAGCTCCCGGAGAACCTTTTTCCGGTGTGCTTGTTCCGTGATAAAGTCAGGCGAAAACGACGCCGTTTTACGCTTATTTTTATCTTCTTCACCTTTATAATACCCATCTCCCCACCCCAAAACCGAGGGGCTCGCGAAATCCACAACAGACGATTGCCAAAATATGGCATACGTCCACCCTTTGCGAGCCCCATCGATTAAAGTCTGGAGTCGCTGTTGCAGTGACTCTTGGTTGAAATATGGCATAGACTTTAATGGGTCTCCGGCAATCCCCGTCACCGGCGCCGGCGCTGGAGAAACTGAACTCCGGGGAGTTGGTGTAGTAGTTGTTCCGGGCCAAAACGACGACGGATCAGAAGATAAAAAAGCTTCCATCATATTATCATCGGATGTAGTATTGCTCCATATATTAGTCATCGTTGGTATTCTATAATCCGTCATTCCATATAACAAAATCAAGAAAAAAAAACAGACAAATCAATTCAGATCTGTTTGATTCTTGATACAGAGAGGAAATTATTTCGGGTATATATTCAAACACCCAAGAATTGTTTGGTGATAAGGAGTGAGTGAAAATGGAGAGAGTGTGTGTATATATTATGGAGGTGAAATTGAGCTGAATTTAAATGAGGAAAGTGAGTGGAAAAAAGGAAAGAGGGTTCGACGAAAGAGTTTGAGAGCCGATTTAATCGTGAGAAATTGCGTAGGAGAAGGAAAGTCGGCGCGATTTTTATGGATTTACTAGTATCAATTAGTTACTATAAAATCTAGTAGTGAGTTATAGACTCCTAGCTGAAGTTTGGGTTGTGCACGGATCAGATCGATCGGATTTAGCATATTTCGGATTTCGGATTATAGAAAATGCAATCCGAATTCGATCCTAAATATATCGGATCGGATCGGATTTTAAAGTTTGGATCGGATCGGATATCGGATCGTATTATTATGTCTCGAAGTTAAACTAATATGTATATTTTCTTTGTAAAAGAGACAATACATTAAGAAAAATTCATGTTTATGCAATTATGAGAGTACTATGGTGCCAATATAGCTAAATCTAGCAATTGTAAAGGTAATAACTTGGAGGTTGATGTAAATTAAAGTGTAGTATTTATACATGTCCTAATAATTTCGGATTTCGGATTGGATTGGATTAAAATATACCAATCCGATCCAAAATTCAAAATTTTAATAAACATAATCCAAAATCCAATCCAATTCGAAATTCGAAATTCAAAATTGAATGGATCGGTTCGGATTTCGGATATCCGATCCGAATGAACAGCCCTAACTGAAGTAGGTAAAGTAACCTTTTTACTACTCCTTCAGAGGAATAGAAAGGTTATTTTCAGAAGATCCTCGATTTAAAAAAACTAAAAGAAATAATAAATCCATAACAGTAATAGAAATCAGAAAAAAAAAAATATCAGTAACGTAAGAGACAATAAATAAATGGGATGGAACCCTTCGGGGTTGTCTAGTTAGTTTGGAGGGTGGTCGTCTATACAGATGACCTGGGATCAACGTCCCCTCAATGCCTTCTGGGTTGAGCCTGTCGCACATGGCTTGTCTAGTACGGTTTACATCCCCTTTGTGGTTTGCAGGTTATTACACAGGGAAAGTTTACCCAGTACACACAAAGTGCTCACCACAGAGTGCTCATCCGAAGGGTAGAGGCTGTAGCAAAGGTTGTAATAAAAATAAATAGGAGGGCAATAACACAATATAAGTCGCTAGCAATCCTATACAAAACACTATCAGACTACACCTTCCGTCGACTTTAACAAATTTTTTTTTAGCTATTTTCGCACATATTAAGGAATCAATCATTTGGGATTTATTAACACCAAACTTAATCATATTAAACTTTTGTGTTGACACGTGTTCTATCTGGTACTGTAGAACTTGATTTGGTCATTTGTTCACTCTGCTCCATTAGTCAAACTTTTTGACAGTTTTTACCGCTAAGAAAATATAGTATGACGCTATCATCGGTGCAAGCAGTTTTAAACGATTTAATTTTTTGTTTTATTAATCCGGATTTACATTAAACTTTTAACTTTGAGGTAAATCTCTCTAGCAAAACGATTATATTTTTAGAGTTCAAATTCGTCAGGAATAGTCTCTCTGCCTTCGAAAGATATGAATAAGGTCTATACTCTATATACACACTATCCATCTCATATCTTAAGAATACACTGGATATATTATTATTGTTTGTTGTAGTTCAAATTCGAGAACTCTAGTAAAAAAATAGAGAAATACTTAACGTCACATGACCTTTGGTGATTAATGATTTATGTTATTATTATTATTATTATTATTATTATTATTATTATTATTATTATTATTATTATTATTATTATTATTATTACTTCATTTGTTTCATTTTACGTGTTATTGTTTTTATTAGACTATATAAAAAGGAATGACATATTTATATTGTGAAATGGTAATTTAAAATTTTTCATTTTGCCAATAGTTTTCTTTTGTAGCCACGTAAATATCATAGATTACAAAAAATCACAAATTTCAAAGTTTTTCCTTTCTTTCCTTTTAATATTGTGCCGAATAAAATGCCCCAGCTTAAATTGAAACAGATGGAATGATAGTTTTAAAATATTGTGCTAATTTAAGAATTTTTACTCTTTACATCTATAATTATAGTAAGCAAGTAACTTCTCTTCTTTACTTATGAAGTTATCATACTTATTTTCTTTGTTTAATATTGAACTATTAAATAGGTTCGAATTTTATGGAAGAAAAAGATTCAGAGCACAAAACCAATGAATATTCAAGGAGTTAATTTTGGAATTTGTTAAATAAGAAGATTTTCTTTGATAACCATATTTATTTAAGTGCTAATATTAATATGTAACAGTTCAATGTTTTCAACTTAGAAATAGAAACAAGTTAAGACTTTCAGGAAATAAAAGTTGGTATCCTCAGACCGCCTAAGAGACTTTCCGACTGTCGAAGGAAGGAAGTTCAGTTTTTAGTGACCAGAAATTGACTAGTTTATTTAATTGACTTAAAGATCTTTCTTTATATTTTACTAGTTAAGGCCTTCGATCATCTGCCGATTAAAACTTTCCGAATGTGGCTTCATCAGCGGCGTCACAAGCAGCAGGTAACCATGTAAATCAAATGACGAGGAGCAACAAGAAAAGGAAATAAAGACCCAGAGGGCCTAGAGCAAGGTCAAGAAGTTAGCTCATTAGACGAATGGTTACCCAGGGAGCTGGTAGCAGATCTGTACTTGACTCTTACTAAGCAACCTTTAACCTAAATGAGAAATGGAAAGAGAATAAATGGAAATGTAGATCAATTATTCATCCCCTATTAGCAATTAAATTCGAAGTAATAATTATCTTAAGAGTTCAATAGTCCTCCAAAATTTTGGAATTTTTAAAAAGAGATAATACATAAATTTTCTTGAACTTGTCTTTAATTTTTACTTTTAATCTTTTTGATAAATTAAAATTTCGAGGATCAATGACACAGTTAGAAGTAAGGTCTACATATACATTATTATTTTTAGACTTCATTTATGGGATTACATTGAAATATCATATTTTTGCCCGCGCTAGAATTCAAAACTTGCCCCTGTTCACTTAAATACCAAGCTTTTATCTGTAGCGATACGTGCGCCTAATTCATACATCATGTGATGTACTGAGTTCGAAATTTGTTGGATGATGAGTGATCGTATATCCTTCTCCATTTAAAAACCCGTTTGGCCATGATTTTTTTTTAATTTTTTATCGAAATTAGAGTTTGGCCATAATTTTTTTTTCAATTTTCACTTGAAGATGAATTTTGAAATTTTTCGAAAATTTGAAAATCTTCAAAAAGTTTGTTTTCAAAATTTTCACTCAAATCACTCACAAAATTCAAAAATAACCCAAAATTATATTCATGTCCAAACACAACTCTAATTTTCAAATATTATTTTCACTTAAAAAAAGATTTCACTTTTTTTGGAATTTTACAATTCTTATGTCCAAGCGCCAACTATTTTTGTTCATTTAAATATTAAATTTTTATCTCTGATAGAAATTAAACACATGACGTGTCTAATCCATATATATTGCACTATTATTACTGGTCCACAAATATGGGGCAAATATAAAACTCCATTTCGATTAATCGTTGGCAGCGTTCTGAAATAATCGCCCAAAAGAAGATTTGTTTAACCAAATTACTTTATCTTAAACTTTACTTACGTTAATGCTCACATGTCACCTTTATACTCTCTAATATTTTAACTCTTTTTTCTTTTTTCTAACTACTCCTCTATGTATTTGCATTATTCTTTTAAGTAATATCCGAATAAACAATCCACCCCGCCAAAAAATAATTTAAAATCTATAATATGTATTATTTTGAATGCACTACCAAATAAATTAAGATATCTATAATGATATATAAATCATATTAAGTATGATGTGATCATTTAGAAAAATATAAATAACTCATAAAATACACAAATAACACGAAAATAAATTCTATTTTTGCTGTCAATTTTTTTTTTTGTAGTATTTTTATCTTAGCTTTTTTACTCTTGTATTTTTTTCCCCTATTTTGAAAAAGTTTTTCTTGAGCCAAATGTATATTGAAAACAATATTTCTATCTCGTACAAGATATAAGTAAGGTCTGCGTACAATTCACTCATCCCAAATTTTATTTGTGGGATTACATTAAATATGTTATTATAGTTGTAACGTGAAAAAAAAAATTACATATCAACGCATAAGTTAAATAAAAAAAAAATAGAAAGAAAAATCTTATTGGTACGCGTTGGCGTCACGTTGTGGAATCATTGACGGGTCCTACTTAATTGTTTTGTTCAGATATTATACAGTTTTATAATTTGTAGATATGTTTTGGACATATTAAATTATTAAGGCACGTTTTGGTGGATGCCTAGCGTGAAAATAACGTTGATATTTTATGTAATATAATTGCAACTTGGCATGTGAACCACTATTACAATGCCAGACAATAAATATTATATTATATATAATATAGATAAAATAAACTCCTCCAACCATTTTTTTACGTATCTTTTGTCATGCTCTTTGTTTGCTTGTATATTTAGGTTTTTCGTTTTTTTTTGGGTCAAAAAGTTATTTAAGCTTTTTCGTTGAAGATAATTGACAAAAGCGAATTGTAATATTTTAATTTAATGGTGGACTATATTTATTGGCTATCGAAATTTCAAAAATTGAAAGCTAGTAGTAGTAGTTAATTGAAAGAGAAGTTGTTATCATTTGTGCTAATATAACAAAATGTAGGGGGCAATATTGTAATTTATTTATGGATTCATTTGAATTTTGACTAAAATCTATCAAAATTAGTGAAAATATTGAACTTTGAATTTAGAACTCAAATAAGATGATGGATTCGTTGGTTAGAACCAAGACCTAACCCATAAAATTTTAAAAAGGATCTGCCTCTATAACAAAATGAAAAACATTAATGTCATAAAAATATTTTGAATAATTTTTCCCTAATAAAAACAACTATGTTTACTATATATTGATGTTGAGTGAGGTCTTAATCGTACATCTACCAAGTGGCACTCATAAACATGTTTCACACCTTACACTACTAGAAGTTCGATAAAAAT